AGATAGAATTATATGTATTGTCAATTTCAACCGATGAATAAACAGTCTAGTCTTCGTTTAGCAAGTAACAAAAAACATGATGCCGCACCCGCGACGATTAGAATGATGCAGAAAAAAATAAACCGGCGCTACCGTAATTCAAAAAACTTTGCGACCTTTTCCCTGTGTAAAAAAATATCCACACCCAGCAGCATTTCTTTCATAAAGCACTCGTTTTGACAATGTGCATCGTATTTCTGACTGGCGCATGATAATGATAGCGATCGCTGATACAGTAGGATGCGGAACATTGTTTGTTATTCTGAATCGTTTTCTTGCCGTGAGAAACAGTTGAAAGTCGTTTTCGTGAGATTCGCAGCGACCTCTCTAACTGATTTTTCCACGGTTACATTTCTGTTACTTTCTTATTATTCGATTTGCAAAATTGCAGATCATCAGTACCGCGCGATCGGCGACCGTTCAGACCATAAAGTTGCACCGTAAGATGAGGGTGATGAATTGTTCCATGAAACGGCTCAAGAAAACTGCATTTCACCCATCTGTTCCATGGTATACCTGTGATGTGATACCGAGAAGACGATTTTCTAACTTCCTTGTGAATGTCTACAGTCGCCGAGAGTTCAGGCTGGCGGGAACCTCTGTAGCCAATTTCTTCATATATCCGAGCAGTTATATACATCACTGAAAACCTAAAGAGATCAGGTACGGTATTCTTAAGAGTTCGACGACAGCTGTACTTCAGATGAAGTCAAGTCGCTTAATGTTCAGGGGCCGCTTTCATTTCTTGACGCAGAGGACGTCAAAATTTCGGGTACATCTCCGTACAGCAGCATCGGCCGAGTATAGGATTGATAGAATCGTAATCCGTCGCCCTGCGTCGTTCGATGACCAGACCACTGGCATGCCGCTCATACTTGAGAGGCAGCACGACGTAAGCGATCGACCATGTATGTGTGGCATGAAACCTCCTGAGAATTCAGCGAATTCCCGATGTAGCAAAGTTTATTTATATCTTTACCTGCCTGGCTAACCACTTGACAAATTGCTGGCGTCACTCGTTCCTTAGTTGCACAACAGTTTTGGCAGTGGCATCAGACGCACTTTAATTATACCCTCATTGAAGGCTTAGCAAAGAGTGAGAAAATGCATGAATGAGGGTTAGAGCACTGATGCCATTTGCGTAGTCCGTAGTTGAGATACTGAAGGCTTAGATGTCAATGCGAGTGTACCCAGCGTTACAGTACGTGCAGAAATCCAACTGACGGCTAGAGAAATGAATGATGACAAAACTCGCGCAAACCTACATTATCGACATTATCGACCTGTAGAACCTTCCTCAGGGAACTGAACCGACGAACAGGTCATCGGTTCCACTGTCCAGTTGTCTGTGAAGGTTGCTCGGGCCGTCCAAAAGGCTGATACACTAAAGAGACAAGAAAGAAAGCAAAAACCGCAAAGAGTCAAGGACTGTCTTCAATTTAACGTAGAAATGCTGGGCATGCCGATGCCAGGTGCGGATAAAAAACGTTGTATTCACGGCGTCAACAGCGGAGCGTATTTTTGAATTCCTAGTTTCGAACTGAAAGACATGTAAACGGTTTTCTAACAGTCAACAGCGTTTTCGTACTTAATTCCGAACGAAACCGAGATTTCACATGCTTATGTCTTGCGCAGGGGTATAATGGTAAGAGGTCGACCAGAGATGCCTGGTTCAAATCCTGAAAAAGGCAAAATTTCGCTTAACCGCATGTCCCCTTCAGCATCAAATTCACCCCATATTGCTTCAGTGCAACCATCTGAAAAACGGGTAGATGGTCATTGGTTGGTGAATAACATAGACAGCATCATCTTCCGTTGCCATCGTATTAGGATGGGCTAGGCGAGCGGCTATGTTCTCTGATGCAAACGTCTGTTATGGCAGCGGCCATCTTGATCCACCAAATAGATGACTATTTTGTGTAACAAACAACACTAATTGTAGGTCTGTTGTTTTTTTTGTTGTTGTGCTTAGTAGAATTGATAACTGCTTTGATCCGTCAAGTCTTCGCAGTCATATTGCCACATTTTTAATTGTTATATTACTTACGACAGGTTTGGCTATGTTTCTTTGTACACAGAATTTCACGCTCACGCCCGGCTGTCTTTTTCATTTCTCCTCTCCTATTCTCTCTTCATTATGTAATTAGGAGGAAATACCTGGTCATTCACCATCGAAATGCACTGGCATTCCTGATATGAGTGGTAAAATCATAGTTTCATATGTGCTGAAGCAATGGTCCAGCTGATGATATCGATTTCAGTTTTAGAGTACAATTTCTATCGTGAGATCAAGCAACATCTCAGAAGTGTTATTAAATGAGGATTTGCTGCGGCATATCTATTGCTGTCGTGTCCCGTTCAGCCAATCCTGCTGGAGCTATTATCGCGATGGAGTACAACTTCTGAAAATAGACCATTTCATAGCACGTTCATAGAGATGAATGCAAGGAAGTAAGCTGCGGCATCTGCTGGGATACCATCTATCAACCTAATATGGAAGAGTTTCGTAGATTTTAGTTGAGGGATACCTGAAAAGAGCTCTCGAAACCGCTATAAACAGTAATAAAATTTCATGGGACTTGCTTCGAATTAATGGCACAGGCTGCAGGATTGTTTCTCGTGTATTATTCACTTGACCTTTTTTTCATGCATTACATGCAAAGAGGATCGTTCGCCACCAGAAAGTGTGATTTTCGCTCAAAAGGTAAGTTTCATTCATAGCCATTAACTCAACAGGGGGTACAGAAGACATTCTTCTGGAACATAGCGCCGTGAAGCTGTCCTCTGTAAAGAAAGTTGATGAAGTGAAGTTAAGGCCCTGTCGCGTAGTACCGACGGCATTACTGACGGGTTGAACATGAATGAACAAATGGCTACTTCACAGATTAGTTTGATCATGTCTTGAAGTGATCACAATATGGTATCAGTATATTTTATCCAATGTTCAGAGGCTTGGTCAGATTTCCCATCACATGTTTCTTGTCAATGCATTAGTAAGTTTAAAATCGAAAAGGGCGTCCGACAGGAAACGGAATATCGCCAGATCATTTATGATAGTCCTAGAACAGGTTTCAAGCCAGTTTATTTGTGGAAGATCTGGAATTGGACGTAGATGGTACTGCTTAAACTGCGATTTGGTTGAGACATTCTTATCCAATCAAGGATACCAGTAGAACTGCAACGATGAATCGAATGGCTGAGCGATGTCAGCCTCAACGTAGAACTGAAAATACACCTGGAGAAGACTCAGACCATGTTTGGGAAATGTGTTACCTGGTGACGGGTTGAGGTCAATGAACTTAGGCTTGAGGATACGAAACTCCACATCCATTGGGAATAATTCATCTCTGCAATGGAGAACCGATTAAGTGAAATCAACAGAGGAATTAAAACGTCATGGTGCACTTTAAGAAGGTTCAAAGGATTTCTATATAACGTGGAAACTGCTCTCGTGCTTGAAACGGTAAGTTTTCGACTAGTTCTGCTTTCAGTACAAACCTGTGGGTGCGAAGCGTCGACCCTAAGCCTAGAAGCCATTCATAATCAGTAAACTACGCAATGCGTTAAGGATTAATGTATGGTGGAAAAAACGATAAACTAAAGGAAGACGAATGAATGGGTAAAAGCTCAAACGAATGCCTGTGAGTTCACTGTTCTGGGAAAAGCGGTAAATCTTAAACAAATGGACTGGACTCGTTGCAGGAAAACTCGACGTTGGAACACGGTTCCACAGAGAACAACGGCTCCCTGGAGATCGATGGATGATGAGTAGAAGAAGCTTGGTGGATCAGAATGGATTAAATGGGCATGAAACAGAAGTTTCTGCAAAGTCTCGAAGAGGCCTTCATTCAACAGGGTATCAAAAAACGGAGTGTGATGCTGTTACTGGTCCTCATTGTAAGAATGACGTCCTGTTGACGTGTATCTCTTAATGTCATCCCTTCATCATTCTTTCGTCTTCTTCTCGTACCATATGTAAACTTCATAATACTGTTTTTAGTATGTAACAATACATTTAAAAGTTATAACCAAAATATCATGACTTTGACTGATATATATTTCATACAGCAGATTTTGGCTGCTCTGTTACTTTAAGACTCATTCACTAGTTCTAAGGTGCATGCAGTAGATACGCCATGGCCATCTGAGATGACAGTGCGTGAGCGCTTCAATTAAACGTTGGAGTTGTGTATCCTTGACGATTCCTGGAAGACATCAGATTTGAAGAATCATTGCTTTATTGTATCTTTGACATTTCTTGGCCAGTTTTGCCATTATGTCTTTGCAGTTAGTAAAGGCTGACTAATCTTAATGGTGAAATCGCTATCTTAATCATGGACAGAATGAGCATGTGGAATAGATGTGACTTACTACAATTCAGTACCTTCTGCAATGCTTCATGTGGAAAGGTGCTTTCCTGGAATATTTATCATTAGGTTAATAGTTTTTTAATAAAATATTGAAAATTGCTAATCAGCTGACAACAAAAATTTCAACGGTCCTCAAACGGCTGAAAACTGGCATGCATCAGCTATCAAAATGCTCTCTGATAATTGAACTGGACCGAGATCTGGACTTCTTTTAACGCAAAGCTGCGAGCGTCACCGAAACAAGCAAAAGTAAATGAATGATTGCTTAACATTTGTTTAAAATGCTGAATATGTTTCTCCTCATATGCATTTAGTAAATCGATAAATAGGCATCGAACGAATCAAAACGTCTGTGCTGTCTCATTTGGATCTGTCTAAAACGACGTTGGCGAGTCTTGGAGTGAGTCACTCGTGAGATTCACCGGAAGAATGCCGCTGACCCTCGTCACTTGTTTCGTCACTGGGTCAGGGCTACTTTTATAGGCCTACAACCTTAAAATATAAATTGTGTCCCATATATCACGATTTGCCATGGATGAAGCACAATTTAAGTTTCTAGCTAGACGGCTGCCTCGCTCGCGATGATCGTCAATGATCTCTGTGATCGATAGAGAGCAAGGTAGAAAATAAAACGTGTGCAAATCAAAATCAATTCAGAATTTGCCTCCAGCAGTTTCGCATTATCATAATATTCCGCTCATCCGTCAAGCGCAAATGCTATTCTCTGCCCATAGAAAGATGGATTGTCATTTTGACTTTGGTGCCTTATGAGTACAGGCGACTGATCCTTTCTTCTGTCCACGTTCATGTTTCTAACTGAACCTCCCGTTTGCTACTGTAGTGTCTTAAGCACGTATAGAAACCCGTCTCCCGTAATACTTACCTCATTAACAACAGTCGGCATAATGGTAGACGTTCATTCCTCATCTGAGAAGAGCAACAGAGTAATTTGCCGACACATAAAAGACTTACGTTTACCTACTATTTTCACTTAATAAGTCTGGGGTAAAACCCATGAATTAATGAATTGATAAAAAGATAATACGTCTCACGATTCCGTGGTTTGCAGTTCGAGGAACAGTAAAGACGTTTTCTTTATAACCATTCCAACGATTCGAATTAATTGGCATCGTGATCACCAGGGAACTGATCCCTGATGATTGCGGATTGAACTAATTGTAAATAGAAGTTTTATATGGAATCAGAAGGGACATTAATTTCAAGTTATCTACTGTGCGGTATCTGTGCGAGTCTTAAAATAAATCAATATTTTATTGCTGGAACGGAGTTTCCAAGGAATCCAACTTTGTGCATTTGACTGCTAAAACAAAAAGGTCATTTTCCCCTGCATATTTAGCTCTACTGTCCTTTATGTAGAGCATTTATCATAAAGGCCAAATGAAATTTGCGAAATATCGTTAAAGCTACTTCGTTATTCACTTAGCCATAATTTCATGAAATGACTACACGGCTAGCAAATGGGCCACTCTTACATCGCAAAGTCGTGCAATGCCCTGACCTCTCGTTTTCGTCTTTCCTCGCATCGTTTAGATTTATACATATGGCTCATCGGGATTATTCTTATTGTTTCCAAAATATTTCCATTCTCTTTAAGCGTCATTTTATCAAACACGGCCTGAGGCCTGGCGCTCGTTTCTGAGTTCACCTGATAGTTGCCTCAGACCAGTTGTCGTAAGCCCTTCCTCAGTCCTGACCCCCCTGGTACCATCACGCCTTGAGCATACAACGCACAGAGCGTTATTGAAAGCTGCGTAGACGAAACTCATGACGTTTCGTGTCAGCAGATTCCCGAGACTGTACTTGAGTTGTACAAGAGCACAGCGAATACGGCTACTTTCAAAACAGTGGTGATTCTATCCATTTTTATAGTTCGATCCTTTTCATACGTCATGCAGTAGCTTGCAAAATTTCTTGAAATCAGCCAGGTTGTTATCATGCATGTACCGAGCAGGATGCTTTCGATGTCATGACGGAAGATCGAACTGAAGACGATGGAAAATGGATAGTATCATTTGTGAACGAATGAAGGATTGAAAACACATCGGAAAATTATTTTTTGCTGACAAAACTGTACATTCTTGAAAGTACCGAATTGCAGTGGCAAGACAGCCAGTTATTCTCCTCAGCAGTGCATTTACCTGCAATACAAAAGATATCATGGTGAGCTCCCTTTTGTTCCTTATTCAAAAAAGCAATTAAAATCGCGAATCTTTGGCAATACGCTTTTCCTAGTATGCCTGATTTGCTGATTGGTGGTTGGACGCAAAAGCAATGCAAAGTTTAACACTTTATTGCCAACGCGTTTTGCTACACAAGTTGTGACGTCTTGTCTGAGCAACCTCAGTTTAAATTGAGTTGGATTGCAAGCGCTTTTCGAGTGACCGCATTTCGCTAAGAAATACTGAGGGATCAACATTATTATAGTACGGAAGGGAGACAGTTTCTGCATCCACAAAGCATTTCTGCTTGGATCATTGCTCGATCGGTACGATTTATTCGAGAGTTTGGATTGTGCTGACCGTCACGTGAGGATACTCGTAAATAAATCGATATAGAGTTTCAAACAGTCTCGAAAAACCATGAAATTCACGTGGAGTCCATATCGAGATGCGCGCTTTACAGAGATGCTGTGAGCTGAGAACGGTCATGTTTATGGTGGCCCTCCGTGGTTGCAAATCACTACCCCTTAATAATGAATGCGGAATACGGGAGCTGACTCAATTCGAAGAAACCTCATTTCTGGAAACAGTTTCATTGTTCAGCCGCTTTCATCATTGTAAAAATTTTTAGGTGGCTATGACTGCAGTCTAACAATTATGAGCTACTTCCTGACGTCCTCCGATAATGTTCGTGTATGTTTTCCACTTGGTTCCTATACTGCTCTCCACAGTTTCGCTTTTCGGAATATTTTCTTTTGTTGATAGCAGTTGTCGCTGCTAGGGCTAATAAACCCGATTGATTAATGCACTGATAGACCGTTCACCTGTTGTACATTGTTAATTGGAGTTCCACACAGATAGCGCTCGGCGAAATTGCAAATTTTCCATGAGACTTAATGAATCATTTTAAAGTACTTCGCTTCCATCGAAATATTCCATTCTCAAGTTGGAACTTCCGTGTTTCTTAATGAGCTGAATTGAGGAGTAGAGAAGTTCTCTGCGAGTCAGTTGTGCAGCGTAGCACATCCAGCGCGAATTGAAAACCCGGTGTCCGCCATTCACACCTCCTATTTCTTTCAGGCACTAGATATTGGTTTTGGGAAAGTACTCCTGTCAAAGGGTGGATAACTAAAGAAAAATCTTTTATTATGTAGCAGACCAACATGGGCATCTCCTCAACAGTGATAGCCTTCCTTCAGTATCACGGAATTGCGTCGCAATATGGTGATGGCAAGGCACAAAGTGAATCAAAGCGACAATCTTCGTATTCCTAATTACAACATCACGCCAAAGTGGGCCACAATTTATGATTATATCAAAAACGATGGTCTTTCTTGTATTCCCTTGTTAGTACGCTGAGTGCTCCAGTCTCTGACTGTTCGGTTCAATCATAGGAATCCCGGCCATTTTGACAGCTTCTCGAATAATCCGTTGCTACAATGCGCTAGTGGCCATGTTTCTTGGTTCTCTTTATTGAGGAATGCAAATCATGTCCACCTGCAGATTTACATTAGCATTTTTCGATTAGAAGAATTTTCTAGAAACCTTCATCATCCCTTATAAAAAATCACATATACCATCTTTCGTGAAAATAAAGCCATACAGGTTCTAGACGTAAGAGACAGACTGGCGGCAAAATCTTCATTTCGACGTTTCAACTGAATTAAATTTTTCATCTTGAAGCTAAGCTCAGAGGATGTCAACTTTAATTCCACTTAAACATCGGCAGTTCTAATATAAACTTTGCTGGTTCTCTATTCTTTATTCTAAAACAATCAAAGCCAAGGACAAGAAAGAACGGAAATGCATAGCGGCATTAAGATGTAACACTGAATAATATTATTCCACCGGCAGATGCTCCATTTTTCACGCATCGAAATAGCGAGAAGGTTATTATAATTTTTTTCATTCTCATATCAGCGTCTGATTTTTCAAGAGCCTCTGTTCTCCCTGAACAGAAGTAGTTACGTTCTTTGTGCTATATCCAGGGAATATCAGTATGGCGAAAATCTTAATCATTCCCGCGTTGACTTACGGGCTTGAGTAGATTTGTCAACCTCTGATTATTACCACCGCCTTAGTATACCATTTCAGAATTTACGCTGGGACTTTAGAATGTAAAACTTCCTTAGATCGTTACCTCACTTTGAGTACTGTTCCATATTTTCGACATCGCCCTCCACGACCGGTTGCCGAGATTTGACTCATTGACTCATGAAGTGTTTCCAGTCTTTAAATAGGGCCACTAGTAACTTTCCTGAACATTGGTGTAGAGTCCTTCTGGCGCTATTAAGAAATCGCTTACGACGCAGATGTATGAATATGAAGGCGACTTTTAATCTTCGACCTGCTTTCAGACGGTGACAGCCCAAACTATGCGGATCTTGGCATCGGAACGGTGACTCGTGAACGGTCGTATGGCATCGGCAGCTGCCCGGTCACTTTGTTGGTTAGTGTTCGCCGCCGTTTCAACGACCTGTTTTGCTCAGGAAAATTACCCTTTCTCCTACTATTCCAGGTGAGGCGACCCGCATCCTTGTATGCCATTTCGAATGGCAGCGTTTGAAGGTGTGCCATGCTTTCAGCTACGAGTTGTCGCGAAACATAACCCATATCCTCAACACGCTAGTAGACAAGAAGTACTATGACAAACGACTTCGGCCGAACTATGGCGGTAAGTACGTGGTGCGCCATCGCCACGTGTCACCGTTGCCTATCCTGCAGCCTGCTCTGTTTCACAGGTCCAGCGGTCGACGTAGGGATAACGTTGCACGTATCGAGCATCAGCGCTGTGTCTGAAGTAGATATGGTAAGTTACCCGGAATTTTGCTACCATCATTTGTAAGTTAATGCATAATTCTATGAAGAAAATGGTTAATAATCAGTTATATATACATAATGACCAACCGAACAGGGAAGTTTTTCATAGAGAGATTAAAATTTAATACTTTATGAAGATTAAAAATTTTCAGCTTCACAATGCATAATGTTTTCTAATTTCAGTTACACTTCATAAAATATAGTGTGAGTAGTTTGAACATTATTTCATCTAGAACCATATACCCAGGGTTAGGGAGCCAAGTACTCTATGTAAAATTCTGGCTATTCATAGCAAAATCGCAATCGTTTTATAAGTCGCTTTACTGGGAGATGATTTACTCTCTTAACTATTCCGAGGGCAGCGATCATCAGGGAATGACTCCCACCATTTCCATATCCCTCCATATCTTTTGCATTTACATCCTCAGTGCTTCATATTTCTGCCTTTCTTCTCTCTCTTTAACGGCACCGTTGCGGCCAGCCTGGCGTGCTATGTTTGTGCTCTCATTTTCACTTCGTCTACCAAC